AGACCCTTGAGAATTCATCATTCATAGCGTAGGCAGGAGCATAAGGAGCCACTCTTCCATAGTTTTTCATGAATCGCATCTGACTATCTTCCAAATATGAGAACGGGATTCTCCCTGGAGAAATGTGCCAAAATACTAGTTGTAATATATAGAAGAGGAGAAGAAAGGTAATATGAAAAAATAATAAAAATTTTAATTCTAAGTTCAAGGAAAAAAATGATGTAAATCCCCACACAATGCAATGCTAAAAGCATATATATAGTAGAGGCTAAACAGCTCAAAGCCTTCATACTGTGAACAGACATATGAATAGTTCTCAGGATAAAAAGATTGGAGAATGTGATAAGATCCTAGAAGCCACAAAACAATAAAAGATTGAGCACTTCCTTGTCTAAATGATCCCATTGTGAGAAGAGAAGTATGGTTTACCAATTGTAAGAAATGCAGTCATAACTTTCACCTATGATTCCGGAAAAGAAGTTAATAATGGAATGAGCATATACTATCGAAAGTCCGATAAATTCCCTAGAGTCCTCGACCCCCATTCTTTTGTCTGAACGCCCAAAATGTTAGCTTCCATTTTTTTTTTATCTCTTGATCAATTGATCAGAAAAACGAGGCAAAGTCCAAAAACTATGCCTCATTAATAGATTGCCAAAACTGAGCTAATTGAGTGTATAACAGTCTTCTACAAACCAATTTATGCTAAATAAATTTTGCTATCAATTAATCTCGAAGCAGTTCACTAAAAGCCACATTCTATAAGAAAAGCAAAGGAAAAATAGCAAGACAATTATTATGGCCAAAATGGTAGGAAAGGAAAAATAAGAAAAACGGATTACACTATGAACATCTGCTACCAGAGGTGTGTACTGTCAAATCGGATTAAAAACCAGTCTGTATTTCAAGTGAACTAACCAAGACTTGGTTTTCCTAAACGCCACCCCATTCCATAAACACTTGTTTCTGAAAACATTCTCACAATGATGCCTTCTGCTTTATCTGTATTTAAGTCAACAGTTGTGTGGCAAACATTTAGTTCAATCTTTCTATTTACAAGTCATGGACACAAAGCTAATACGAGTTCCAAAAATTGACATATCAACAAACCCTGGTGAAAATAGAGTTCCACCATTGATATCCTGTTTTCTACCTGAAAATTTGAAACATCGATCAACCATGAAAAGCTGAAATATTAGCAAAACATTATTTGTACCTAAATTTGACCAACAACAACAAGACCAAACATTATACACCAAACCGTAAACCACATCCAACAAACACTCCCAGAAACATAGTGAATTTCATTAGCAAAAAAGTTGATTATAATTTCTATCTTTTTCTGCTTTTGTGCTTACTTCCGAAGGTATCATTTGCCATACAGAGGAAGGTGAGTCCATCCGATCTAAGGATGTGGAATATGTACCGATCCTGGGAGAAACAAAGCCTCGACTCCGCCGGCTCCGTCTCTGACAGCTTCTCCAGTATCCGCCGAGAAACCGCCGGGGCATTCCCCGTCACGGCGCTGAACTCCGCCAGCACCGTCGTCCCTCGCGCCACCACCCCATACAGTATCGCCATCAAAATATTGTATATGTATAATTACAAATTTACAATAAAAGTTGAGGATTCATAATTACAAATTATACACTCGATTAGGTTACGTTTGATTAATGAACGATAACTGGATCTTCTTCCCCGAGAGGGACGGGTGGCGTGGGCTGGGCGAAGATTGAACGAAGACAGAAGAGTTTTTATTGGGTATCACGCGGCTCACGCCAGAAAATCGATCCAATGAGGTTTGATAGCGTACAGCAGATTACGTGAACGTTTGTGTAATTAAATTTAAAAATAAGTAATTTTGTTATTGCTGGGAAAGCAACTTTTAGGCGTCGAAATTAAAATTTAGATTTTAACTTAAAATTAATAATTAATTTTAATAACGTATGTCATACGATCCATAATTTTTCAATTATATATTTCATCAACTTTTATCAAAATTTATTAAAAATTTAATTTTAATCCATCAAACAGGGCTAAAAGGAAAAATTGGCAAAAATAGCCCAACATGGACGAATGGTTCTTAACCCTTAAATCTTGACGCAAATTTGGGAAGGCAACTCAAGGGATACGTAGGTATTCTTGTTAGTTGTTACCAAATTGCATATTGACCAAGATATAGTTCCATATAAATATTGAGATTTGAATTTCTACCATAAAAGGATTCATTTGAGAACTTCAATTTTAATATTCGTATACTCATTTGAATTCTAATCAAATTGATTTGTTCGTTTGAATTTAATCTACTTTGATATCATATTGGGACTTGTAATTTCATCTTAAAAGATAAATCTTATTTAGATGGTTAATATATTTATTCAATGTGGAATATATAGCGGATCAATTCAAAAAGATATGTAGGTATTCAAAGACTAATTGCTGGTAAGTGCGTTTTTACACATTTGATTACAAAATATGACTAATTGTTGATCAAAGAGTTTGACTTATGGTTTATTTCCATGTAATTATGTTTCATAGGACTATATTGATGAATGTGGTGAAATTCAAGAGAAAAGAAACGAAAAATGACCAAAAAGGAAGGACATCCAAAGTATGAGGATTAAATTGCAACATTTCAACAGTTGATTCAGATCAAAAAATGAAGATAAAGATGTTGCGGATTCAATTGGATGTAATTAAAAGTTAAAGGGTTGAAAATGGAAGAGAAAATGCTTGAAAGAAAAAAGAATCGACTTTGGAGGCCAAAATGCAACATTCGAGAGTTTTTTATAACCGAGCTACAGCCCAGTTGTTTAGAGTGGGCGACTGCCCAATGTCAAAAATCAATTATCGAGAAGAAAATTTTGGCCTGGGCAACTGTCCGGGTTTTGCCTGAGCGACAGCACAAGCCAATCGCGATGAAAAAATTCTAGTTTCCTATTCTGACTGAAATTCTTATAGAAACAAATCTTTAGAGGTATTTAACAAGCCTATAGTCGTCCCTAACTATACAACATGCATTATAACACATTCATAAGGGTTTTTGGAGAGGAGAACAAGGCAAGAACGTGAAAATTGACATCAAAACGCAATGATTCAATTCAAGATTTAAAGCAATGATGCCTTTTTTTTATGATTTAATTTTTTTTCTTCTTCCCACCATGTTAGGCTAGATTTTATGTGCCAGGAGATCGATGAACTTGTAATGTGATTCTTAATTCCTTGTTTCATAATTTTGACATTAAAACACGTTTGATTATTTTGAATTGTTTATATACATTTAATTTCTTCCACAATTAAGGGCCCGTAATTATGTGAGTTTGGATGACTTATTCCTTGCATTCGAGAGAAGGGAAATATGTTCGATAATATATAAATTATTGTAGAGTCCGATAAAGATATACCGTTATGCTCTGGGGGAATATTTAAGTGCTCACAAAACTACATGCATTATTATATCTTTTTACCCATCATAGAAATATAGGTTGGTGGTATATAAAAGTATGTTTAACATTACTTGAGAGAGAATATGAGCATTGATTCTTCATAATTTAAACATGTTGTCAAATTATAGAACTAGGGTTAAATTGAGCAATACTTGAAAATTCGTGATCCTAGTGCGCTTTTATATTTATTGTATGCATCAACTTACATTCAACACATTCACTTTGCATTTTAGTTTATTCAAATCATACATATTTGCATATTTAATCCAAGTAAAGTTAATTTAAGTCACTATAATTCACGTTTGACAAATCAGTTTCGGTTAAGGCCAAGTTAGGTAGAATTAAACTACCATATTACTTGTCACGAATCTTACACTTGCAGATACAAATCGAAAGAATAATCTCATGAACAATTGCCAACAATCATTCTGTCAAAGCATCTGTCAATGTGGTTTTACCTAGGGGTGTAAGCGATCCGATTTTACCAATTTTTGACAGATTTTCAAACCAAACCATTTTGAACGATTTGAAAAAAACTCAAACTTAAACCTAACGGTTTGGTCCAGTTTTAAACCGCCAGTTTCGCTATATATTTTTTTGCCCATCTATTTTTATGTCATTAATCCTGTTTGAACCAAATTTTTGTAACAAAAAAATGAAAATTTAGATCATTATCTCACAAATCCAGCCGCTTTTGTTGACCTGCTGTTTCATGTGTGGGACTCAGCCTCCTCTCCAATGGTCAATTTTCTCGTTATGATGATATAAAAAATATGGTTCAAACAGGGGCTAAATATATTTATTATAAATTTAAATACTAACTAAATTAAAGTGAAATCACAATAAACTAAAACATTATTTTTTTTTCATTTTTGTTCATCTTTTTTAGGCTAATGACATTATAATAACGTTACAATACAAGTCTGTTAAACTAGATATAAGGCCAAAAAAATATAATGATGTCCAATAAGATCAAGTAATCATCATATCTGAAAAAAGATACTGATTAGACAAAGAAAATAATCAACCACAATAATGAAACAATATAACAATTACACAAGTTTACATTTGTGTGATGTTACGAAACGCATTTAATTTCAAATTCTTACCTTAGTTTGCTCCAAAAAAATTATTGATATGAAACTTTATTCGTAGCAAATATTATTAATGAAGATCTTGGATATATTTGTATTCGATTTGGTATAATGGACTTCAATTCAACTTTGAAGAGACGTGAAAATCTGAAAAAGAAGTGTTTGGTATCGATGGCTCAAGACTGTATTGGGTGTCGGCTCGAGTTCATCTAAATGCTGAAGAGGAAAATGGCTTTTGATAAATTATGTTAGTTTTGAGATTATTAAATATATATTAGGATTATAGGATAATAATAATAATAATAATAATAATAATAATAATAATAATAATAATAATAATAATAATAATATATCTGTATTAGAAAATTAGAAATTGACAAAAATACCCACAAATAATAAAACTATTAAATTTTACATATTTGGATGAATTTTCAAAAAAATTAATTAATTAATTTTTTTTTTATTTTTATATATTTTTTCGCTGATCTGATTTGGTTTTAAACCGCAATTAAAATTCTCAAATCTAAACCAAACCATTTTGACCAGTTTGATACCGACGATTTCTAAAATGTAGTTTCGATTCAATTTTCTGGTTTGGCGGTTTTTGCTAATAACCCTAGTTTTACCCTATCGACAAAAAGAAAAAGACTTTAAACGCAATTCTACAAGCAAGAAAAAAACATCATACAAAGTCAACACAAAAAAATATGGAATTTAAAACAACGAACTCACATCTGATCTCTACAAAACAGATTTCAAATGGTAGATCAATAAAAAAATAAAATAAAATAATTGCAATATTCTGTCAAGATTGATTCAAATCAACCCTAATTCTTCAAGGGTGTGTTAATGGCTCTGCATGATCTTCTGATCTCTCCTTGTGCACCAGCGAGCACTTCAACTGCTCCCAACTTGACCATGGCTTGTCCAAATCGAGTCGAAAAATCTAACCCTTTAGCAATGGCTGCAACTGTGAGGTTGGTTAATGGATCAAGGGCTAGTTCTTGATCAATTTGAAGAATTCCTCTGTGTAAAATGATTTGTCTGTAGTAAGAATTGTCTACAGTCATTGAGCTTAAAGGGTTTTGATCAAGATTAACTGGTTTATCAGCAGTTGAATTCTGAGGGCATCTTGTTTTTAGTGTGTTTAGTAGCGTGGAATCCATGGTTGGATCAGGTTTGCCTGTGTTCTGGAAGTTGTAGAGACGATCTTGAAAGAGCGAACAATGAGCGACTCCGACCGTGTGGCCACTTACGACGAAGGATATGTTGAAAATTTAATGTTATCCTTTGAGAACTCAATAACGTTTGTTGGTAATTAGCCTTAATTGGAAAGAACACCAACGATAAAAGCACTCTAATATATAATTATATGAAAAAACAAACAAGAAAATAATATATGAGTATTATATTGAAAAGGGCAAAATGAGAGATTTATGGTTAGAGGTTATTAAGATTTTGGTTTTATTTTAAAATGTCAGTCTTATTAAGATGAGTAGCTCAATTCCTTATAAGTCGATATATATTTTCATCTTTATTCGATGTGAAATTTATCCCTAAATATGTCCCGCAAGATGGTGGGTCGTTTGAGCAAATCAATCCTGAAATCCATGTGCTCATTTTTGAGTCTTAATCGAATCAAATTGCTCATTGAAATTTAATAAGTTCTGATATCATATTAAAATTTGGGTTCCATCTTAAAATGTTAACCCTATTAAAAAGAGTAGTCCAAACCCTTATAAGTTGATCTATATTATCATCTTTATTTGATGTGTGATTTATCCATTAATAGAGGTAAAGGAGAGGTGAACTTAAGGTCTTCTTACCAAGAAGATAAACCATATCAGTAGAATCAAGTCCCTTCTTGGAAAAAGCTTTGATAGAATCTGATACTGATATTGAAGGAGCTGGCAGATTCACATTCTCAGCAAGAGACACCGTTCCATCTCTTCTTCCAGATTGTACAATATATCGTACCCCTCCACTCTGCGTGTGCATGCACATTGTCAAAGTTAAAAATAAGTAACTTATTTTTAAAATTACCCTCAAAATAAGTAATTTTTTTACCAGGGCAACAGCATCTCTAGTAGCCATAACAATAATATCAGCACAAGAAACCACCCCTGGACAGATTGTTTCCACAATAGCTTTGGCTGCATCAATTATTTCATAGCCTCGAACGCTAAGATTAGGGACAGCAGTTTTCTCTGTGCTCTTTCCATCCAGTAGGATTGATGCATCCCACCCCTAATTGTATCATTAATTTCAAGTAATTAGGATTACACTGACATATATCATATGAACAACTTCAATTTTCTTATACTTAATTTGCATTTTGTTTATAGTTGATTAGGTTAAACCGTTTAAAGTAGTGTTGAATTCGACCAGAATAGGTTAAAAAGAGTCTAGGACAAAAGTCGATGTAACCTGAGGTAGTTGTAAATGATTTTGATTTCATTAGATCCGCTTATCAATAAATCCAACTTATAATCTCCTAATTTTTAATGGGTTTAAGTTTTTAATGAAGTGATTCGACATGAGAGAGAGAGAGAGAGAGAGAGAGAGAGAGAGAGAGAGAGAGTGTGAATAATATCTTAGGTTGCTGTTTCATTATTTATGGTAGGCAAAATGAAGTAGGATTGACCAAAAAATAATTAAAAACCCCTAACAAATTTTATTTAACCAATTATATATATCGCTTTGGTCTTTAAATATAAAAAACCCCAAATATTTACATTAAGCCCTGTTTGGTTAGGGAAAATATTATAATTTTTCAATAGATTTTGAAAAAAATCGGTGAAATGTGTAGTTAAAAAGTTATATAAAATTATGAATTCTATAAAATGCATGGTAGAAAATGAATTTTAAGAAATAATGTCAAATATGAGTTAAATATTCTTACATTGACAAAGCAGTCATGAAATTGCATGCGGAGGAGAGCAGCAGCAATGGTAGAATCCCTTGAGAACCATGCTCTAATAACACCACCAACAATCGCCTCCACGTCAACCGAATGACATTTTCCTCGGTAGAACCCTACCTGTAATGCACCACCGGTCGCACCGCTGCACGGCCCCGCCAAGGTGCCAAAAATGCAAGTTAAAGCTAATGTAGTTGCTAATGTTCTCGACATTTTCGAAAAAACTCTCGAGTTTATTTTTGTGAAAATTAATGATTGTTTTTTAGTGTTGTAATTCAAAACCTCATTTGCTTCTATTTATATAGTTGGGAAGAGGCCCATTACTGTTAAGATGAATTGTTGCGTGGTTTGCACGACATCGGAGGATCATATTACAATAACGTGCACTCATGTAAAGGAAGAATTCAATATCAATATTGATTAAGCAAAGGTTTGGCTAAAAGCTTAAGAAAATATCAAATACTATTTGGTTTAACTAAAAAAAATAGATAAAAATCGAAATCAAAGTGAATAATTAATTTTAATTACACTTTATGGGATTCACAATTTTTAGTAAATAAATTTTTTATCTCCACTTAAAAATTTGATTTTAGCAAAATCAAATAGGTCTAAAAATACGATATTTTGGTCGATATAAGAAACGGAAAAAAATTACAAATAAGGTATTAACATATTAAAAATGTAACAAGTAGATCGACAACCTATAGTTCGAAAATTCTATCCCCAACAATTTATTTAACATTTGGAATCCAAGTTCCTGATTTTACTATTTTCTCTCTCTCTTTTAATTAAGAGTAAAATCATCTTTTTAATAAAAATATTTGGGATTTTAATCAATGATAAGGATAAATTTATCAATTGGGGACTCGAGTGCTAAAAAGGAAAAAGTTGTGAACTACAATCACCAAAAATAATAGATAAACTTGCCAGATTTTCAATAGGTTGAGGACCCCAATTGTAAAATTCTCAAAATATATGGAAGTTGCTCATTATCAAAGGTTACTTCTTTTTGGTCTGAGTAATAAACAACAACAATAATCCCTTAAATAAAACTAATAAACAATAATTTTTTCCAAATATGTTTGAAATACAATTAATTAAAGTTTTTTAAACTTAGCGAAACATGGTGTATTGAATTATATTTAGTTTGAAATAGTGCATGAACCTACAAATGTCAAACTAATTAAATATAATGAGATGACTCTTGAAAATGATTAAGAAAATTAAATTTGACTTGATTATGATTTTAATGACCAATTAGGACACTGTTTTGACTTAATTATTAATATTTTTTTGGTTGAGTGATGAGTCTCGGATGGTTGAAAAAGGGAAAGACAATAGTACTAAGCTATTCATTAAATTTAATATGATAATTATATTACCACTACAAATTTTAATCACTACATCACATTATAATCGCACTACAATTAAAATATATTTTTAATCAATACACCACAATAAATTTACAATTATACTACTTATTTAATAAAAACAAAAAATGAAAAAATATAATACAATATTGTGATGTACTTATCACCCATATTAATCCTCATTTTATCAACATTTCTCCTCATTATTTCACAGCCATTGAAAATAGAAGATCGGCAAAGAACACTAAATTGAATGTTTATCACAAATAATTAAAATGCCTGAAAGGATCCTTTGAAATTGTCAGTAATTTGTTTGAGTTTCGAAATATGAATTTTTTATTTATTTGTAATTTCGTTTTTTAATCTTGGAAGTTTAATTTGGAAACACTTTTAAATGGGAATTGAGAAATTTTATTGGCAACCTTACAATTTCATGGATAAAATGGTTTTAATAACGAATAGGTTTCATTTTGATGAACCAGACTGTTATTCTTTTAGGACTTAAACAATATTAACTATGAGCAATGAGATGTTGAGGAAAAAGAAATTAAGTTTTATATTTGTAGTGTAACAATAATTTATTTAATTGAAAAGTATATTAAATCTAATTATATAATTTTTCTTAATGATATTTTAGTAAATAAGAAAATTGTAGTGTACTTAATAAAATTTGTAATGATAATATAATTGCCCAATTTAATAAATATGATTTTAGGTGCAATTGATTTTTATGCCCCTATTTGGTGGGGACTATAATTAGATTTTCTGTAAATTTAAATAAAAATTGATAAAACATGTGATTAAAAAGTTACGAATTCCATAAAATATATGCTTAAAATTAATTGTTAACTTTGACTTATATTAAAATCTAAATTTTAATTTCCACAAAACATGAGCTTATTAAACCTTTCTTTGATCTCCATTATTCTCAAAACACATTTTTCTCTTTTTTCTTTTCAATCACGCATTTTTCAATAAAATAATATTATACGTAAATTTAAAATTTTTCTTATTTATTAATCACACATTCTCCATCAATCTTTGATTCCAAAATGCATTCTTAAAAAATAATGGAGCTCAAACAGGTGCTAAAAAACATTTAAAGCCAAAAATTCCAATAAAGAGAAGTATATCGGAGATAAGTGATTAGAAATCTAAGCAATATAGACGTCATCAACGACTTCTCATTGTCATCAGACACATAATCTGGTTTATATCGAGCTCATTCAGAGGGAGAATTGTGCCATAAAACAAAATGCAACAGAAACACGGCGTCGCTTCATATTTACTTCGAGAAATTGAGTCAATCTTGCACTTGATCAGGTTCCTTCTTCTTCGTCCCATAATACCATCCAAGAGCAGCAAAAGCAGTTGCAATGCCCGCTACAACAGCATAGTTTCTATAGTTGTCAGTCGATGCTTTGGGTGCTGAAGAGGTCTGGCCACTTGATTTGGCATCGGATATTGAATCCGAGCCTCCTGAGCCTGTTGCAGGTGTTTTATCTGGTTTTGGGCCCTGGGAATGATCACAACCTTAAATCTCATGTTGAAGCTTATGTGTTACAATCCAAGAAAAATGAAATAAAAAGAAGTGATAGTAGAAAGCTTCGAATCTACCACGTGTTGGAGAAACCTGGAATTCAAAGTATACACACATTGATAAAGGATCTAACCATTTGCTTCCAATAAGTTGAGCAAATAAAGTTTTCCGGCTTCACAAAAGCAAGGTCTTTCGCTAGGATTAAAAAGTTCACTTACAAGTAAATAAGTTTTAAACTAAATAGTTTATTTATTTATTATTATTATTATTATTATTATTATTTTTTTTTTTTAATATTGTTATCCGCCTTTTAGAGTACCTCCGAAGCCATACTGGACCAGTCAGCACAATGAACTATCCATGCGGCTACGAGCTATCAACCCAGACTAACTTATTTTGACAATAAGATGAGACTTATTTCCAGACTAACTTTTCTAACTTAATGCCAGTTATTTCCAGACTAACTTTTACAACTTAATGTCAGTTTCCCAAACATGGTTGAAATCAAAAGTTACTTTTTCTTTAAGCTTGGCTACACATTTATTTGTACTTCAGCATGAAAGGCCCCTGTCAAAAGGTTCTTATCTAATTGACTCCCCCTAGTTTTGAATACTTGAGTGTTTAGCAGCTTCCACCAAAACTTAAAAAACAAAATGATCGTCTAAGTCAAATCTAATCCGTGCAGTTTGTTTACACAAAATCTCAGGACTAAGCAGCATTCATAATTTACACAAGTATATTAGGTATACCTCACGAGCGAGTTTCTCTAACTTCTCTTGCTCCTTTTTCTACAAAGAATGCAAAAGTTTCAGCAGTCAGAAAATTATAAACAGTTTGAATCAAGTGTTTTAGATTTCATGTTCCTTAATGCAAAAGTAAAGAGTATGCACCTTGAGCAAAAATACAAAATTGAATAGCCATTATGATCAATAGAATTAGAATCCCACTCAAGAGGTAAATCATATATGATTTTAATGAGAAAAATGAGCTAAAGATGATAAACACACAAAAAAGCAGTTATTTTTCGTTATGACGAAGAAAAGATAATTTTTTGACAACTTCAAAAAGACTCCCAGATTTTGAGCTCGAGTCTGGTTACTAAACTAATAAGCTGGGATGCCAAATTCAGAGAGACAAGTATCATAGTAAAAAATAATACTAATTCAACCTTAGTTGATAAAGATGGAAGACCGCACTTAGACATATTGAGGGGAGAAGATAATGATAAAATCCAACAGTAAGAGCAAGAAAAAGGAGAATAAGTGCAGAAAATATTTCCGTATTGACTGAATCAAAATTACAGCCAAAGGAAGAAATAACAAGTAGCCATTCAAGAGGGCCACTCTCCTAATCTCAATTCACTCACTGAATTACCTACCCCTTACTACCTATCCCTTATTCTATTTATAAACCTATTGTAATTGTTTTTGTCAACCTCGACGTGCCTACTAACAGAGTTTGTTGCTGCCCTCTCTTTCTTCCTTCTTCTTATCCTTCTTAAATAGGTATGATTGGGGGTCTATCAGATAACTGGGAAGAACTTTTATTTATACTTAGCAACTGAGTTAAACTACTCTCTGTTATATGGCATGGTTATAGTATGGGTTTATCTAAAAGTCTTATAATCCTAGTTCAAAGTCAGAACTATTTATGGACATTATGTGTCATTGCTACACTAATCTCTAATAACTTTTGATACTTTCCAGCAATTTACCGTGTTTATGCAAATTTCCATGTTATTCAACTTCAAAATACATTTTATGATTTATAAAAAAAGTCTAAATCGAAAAAAATTGTGGTATTGGATCCTATGCCCTATTGATTAAATGCCTCACCTCTGCCTTTGCCCTTAAAACACAGCTTGAGATGAATTAATAAGAGAAATTAGTACTTAGCTCTCTTGCAGAAAATTGCTCATCATTTCATACATTTAAACTTTTACAGAAAAAAGAAGCCATATTATTGGTCTCATCGAGTAAATTAAAGACAACTCCTGATGATCGATCATACACTCAGAATGCATCATATGACTTAGGATGAAGATAATTGGAGGAAAAAACTTTTGGGGGAAGACCTGACCAGTTAATATGCTATAAAGATATAAACACAATTTGGTTCAATATGAACGTATCATGTTAGTTCAATTAAAGCAAATTTAACTTGATAAAATGTGTCTGCCTAATACTAGACAAATATTTGCTCAAGCATAGTAATTAATGAAAATGTTACTTAATCAAAATACACATTTGTCCAATTCCATATGTAGCATCTAAGGAAAATTTAAATGACTGCTCATGAATTCAATACTGATATCTACCCATACATTTGCAAAAATTAGAAAACCGTCATAAATGACCTGTTAATTCATGCTTTGGGCAGGTCTTCATTTTCAGGGAAAGGGGGAATGGATAGTCATCATGAATAAGACAATTGCAAATGCAACCAAAAATGCAGCAATTGCCGCAGCTCTGTTGAATGAAAAATAACTAGTCTTGTGCCAAAATTCAGCTCTACCTTGATGTAGACATTTTCTGCAGCTTTTTCCTCCTCGCTTAGTACTCGGCCACTGCTTGAAAGCCTGCGAGATACATATCTCATAGCAGTCCTAGTCGCCATCGTAACACCAGATTTTCCTGTCAACACAATAAATTCTGTCACTAAGTATTCAATGTTATAGATACATTTAAACACACATCAAATACATAAGCATCCTAACTAACTTGTCAATTAGCTAAAGGCCACAGTTCTATAAAAAAGTCAAATAAGTAGCTCATCACATAGTTGGATCAGCATGTCATATTAAACTACGCTCTCAAAAAAGCCAGGAGGAGGTAAAATTGACAAATTTTTTATCAAATGTGTGTCCATGTACTTTACATGTCAATGCGTAAATTATTATTTTTTTGTTGAGACTATAATGTGAACATATCTTCCTTCAATGCATCTTCCCCAATAACACAGATGAACGACTTATGATGTGAATATATAGATTTTTCAAAATAAGTAGAAATTGGGTCATTCTTCGTGTTTTGCAAGCTGTGGAGCATGTTTGTTTAAGCTTATATACGTTGGTCAAACTTCAATTATATATTCATCCCAAACATGTCTGTGGTGCTTACAAGTATCTCTTTTCAGAAAGTATGCCAAAAATGATGTGTAGTGAAATGATTGGACGAAAAAGTTGCCCATGTTTTAAACTGTCTAAGTGTCATGTGACATAATATATCCCATTATATAAAGCTTTCATCTTACAATTTAAAATAAATAAATAAAATAAAAATTATTTATTTTGCAGTAAACGAGGGATGTCAATGAATAATGAACCAAATTCTATGTGAAACATACATATTAATAATACGATAATACTATATTTATTCTAATCTCCAAAACAAATGGATTAATTATAATATATAATACTTCCAGAGTGAGCTACGAATATTGCATCAATGGTAAAACATTAAAAAATAAAAAAAAAGAAAAAAAATCTCTCTTATCATTCAATGGCCAAAATACAAATAAACTCTGGAAGAATCATGACCCAAAAATAAACCGAATAAGAACCAGGAAATTTTGGATCCAGAGACGAAATTCAAAACACACACAGAGGGGCGTCAAAGGAACAATCGCTAGTACTGTACTACTTTAAGATTACCCCATATGCTCTACAATTATCAGATTATAGAAAAAAAAAATTAGCAAATATGAGTTATATCGAGCGTAGAATAATAACCGAGCAAAAAAATTAAAAAGAAAAAAAAAATCTACCAAGCTCAGTAGTTCGAAGAAATAAAAAGCAGACAAAAATTAACAACATAAATAAAATAATTAAACAGATACATGCATAAACTATTGGTTAAATAGTTTCCTACGGGGAAGACGATCAGGTAGAGAGAGAATCTGGAGAAAAAATCATATGGGTTTTGAGGATTAAAAAATTGGAATGTGTTCAAGAGAGAAAATAGAAATAAATAAATAAATAAACAATTAATTAAAGAAATGATATAAAATAGTGGATTTAATTCGGGTGGACCGGCCGAAATACGAAACTATTGCTCAATAAAAGAAAAATCTATTATATATTATTTTATACTAAATTTGAAAAATGTAATTCTATGCACAAATTTGATCTTTCCAAATTGAATCCAAAATTTTTGTTCACGTAGTTGTGACTTTATTTTCAGTAGCTGCGACTTTTATTGAATGTGTGATAAGTTATACATTTGATGTTTTAAAATTGATATACGTGACGTCTTGCTATTTTCGATCTTATTTTAAGAAATTGTGACTTTAAATATTTTCGATCTTGTTTTAAGTAATTGTGACTTTGATTTTAGTAGTTGCGATTTTTTTCAATTTGTGGTAATTTATACATTTGATGTTTTAAGACTGATGCACATGACGTCTTATTAATTCGGTTTGTAATCTTATTTTAAATAGTTGTGACTTTGTTTTTAAGTAATTGTAGAGTTATATTTCCTCTTTTTGGTCTCGTTTCAAACTGTAAATTTGTTTTAATTTTTAAGTCTTGAATTTGAGAAGTTGGGATGTATTAGTTTTAAAATTGATGTGCATGACCTCTTATTATTTCTGTTTGTGACCTTATTTTAAGTAGTTTTGACATAGTTTTCAAGTAATTGTAGCGCCATGCTCCTTTTTTGTGACCTTGTTTCAAGTTGAATTTGCTTTAACTTCCAAGTAGTTTTGAGTTTGAGAACATGTGACCAATTTGACTTTTGACGTTTTTGAAACATTAGTACGAGATTTCTTATAATTTCGGTTTGTGACCTTGGGTAATTTCGGCTGCTCTATAAGAGAATCGACAACTACCTTATTTTTCCTTTTTAACATTCATGTTCCTTTTACAATCTGTAAAATACACGAAGGCTAGAAGTAGTAAACGTATTGAATATTAGTGGTTACTTGACATGGAAGCCTGGGCTCAAAATTTGATATAAACCCAGTTTTGATGTATCAAACCAAACACATGAAAAGTTAAAGAAAGTCTTTTCTTAACTACTAGACTTGGGGGG